ACTAGACAACCCATACAGTATTCTACCACCCAAGGTGCATGTGCTTTTAGAATACCCCAACACATTTTTGCATCTATAGCTATACGTACACACATGAACTGCCTACTGCCTGTTTAAGACCTAAGGCAGAAGCGACTTGGAGGTAAAACAAGGATTTTGCCTATGCCTGAGCCCTTGCCTCCTACCCAAACTTTGGCAAATGTGAAAACAAAATGCAAGGTGCTTTTACACTCATTTCATATCCTTAATATACACGTGGCAAACATATGTTAAGTGCAGAGTCCTATAAGCACTGGAAAATACTTACGTTTCTATGGCAACTGGATCTTCAGATACGCCGGTGTTATTCACCACGCTGTGCCAAAGTGAGCCTATTGATTACTAATTATATAAGCTTGACAGGTTTTCAATCTGCCTACTTCCAGGGAAGCCTGTCCATGTCTATTTGTTTGCCAATGGTGCCTGGTGTGGCATTGCAAAGCATTCTGGGAGCGTTAGTTCATGAAGGGCTCCAGCCAGGCCTACTGAATGGAACTACTGCTGCAGAAACCAGGGCTTATTCTAGAATACACTCAAACAACAGCAACAATTTATTTGTATGCAGCCCATCTGACTGGGGTGCCTCAGCCCCTTGGGGTGGATTCCAACAAATGAAAACATCAAACGCAGTAAAACCCCAAACATTAACAACTTCCCCTATACAGGGCTGCCTCCAGATGTCTTCTCAAAGTCAGGTAGTTGTTTATTTCCTTGACATCTGACGGGAGGGCGTTCTAGGGAGGAGCTGTCATGGAGGGCAAGCTTGTCCAGCGTTACAGATATTCTCAGGGAGGAAGCTTATGGACAACCCCATATTCATAGAATTGTAGAGTTGGAATGGACCCTGAGGATCATTTAGACCAACCCCCTGCAATGCAGGAATACGCAGCTACCCCAAATGGGGATCGAACCTGCAACCTTGGTACTCCCTGAAACAGACTTTGGAAACCATTTATTACTCCCTTTATAGGTAAAGGATCCCTGGACGGTTAAGTCCAGTCAAAGGCGACTATGGGGTTGTGGCGCTCATCTTGCTTTTCAGGCTGAGGGAGCCAGCGTTTGTCTGCAGACAGCTTTCCGGGTCACGTGGCCAGCATGACTAAACCGCTTCTGGCGCAACAGGACACCGTGATGAGTGCCAGAGCGCACGGAAATGCCGTTTACCTTCCCGCTGCAGTGGTACCTATTTATCTACTTGCACTGGCGTGCTTTCAAACTGCTAGGTTGGCAGAAGCTGGGACAGAGCAAAGGGAGCTCACCCCATCACGGGGATTCGAACTGCCAACCTTCCGATTGGCAAGCCCAAGAGGCTCAGTGGTTTTGACCACAGCGCCACCCTTTATATCTCACATCTTTTCCGTTATGGCACTCAAGGTGACTTACATGGGCCTCCTTGATGGTCTCCCATCCTTTCACTAGCCAGACCCAGATATGTTTAGCTTCAGAAAGGTCATTACATCATGAGCTTTGGACCAGGCCCTGGCACCCACAGCCCCAAACCCCAGGTGTCAATCCTATAGCTGTAGAAGACAAATGAGCAAGGATAGGGTGCATTGTCCTTGCTGGTTACAAGCAAGGACAATCCATCCTTGTTCAGCCATCCCACAAAATAGTCAATGGCCATTATATTGGAAAGGGACTGCTAGACAATCCATTCATTCGTGTTAGGGGAACAATTGGTGCATAATAGAGGCTTTTTCTAAAGGAAAAGTAAACACATTAAATGCTACTCCTGTGAGAAAGGTAATGGCAACTATGTGATGAGAAAGCAAGGAAGTGAGCGTTTACCCCCAGCAGATGCATCAGCGGTACTGTTGTTTGCAGAAAATGCGGGAGATTGCTCTCTCTTCTTGAATCCGGCTTTCGTCTATGAAAGAAAAAACACAAAATAAGGAGGTGCCTTCTGGTAAAGTAGGTCAAGGACCAAACAAACAAATGTCATTAAAAACCACACACACACACACACAGGCTGATTACATAAAAGAAGTCCTGCCTAATGCTTTATCTAAACTTCAGATGAATATACAATACATAGCAAAAGCTTTAAAAGAAAGTGGTTCCCTTTGCAACATGCACCCACAGAATTATGTTAAGCAGCTTTGGAAGAGTGGTCTGTATTGACTGTTCTTCAAGCAGCCCCAGAACAGCTGGAATAAACCATGGTTATTTAGTTTTTTCTCTGCCTGCCGCTGCAAAGAAATCCATCCCCACCCTATCAACTCATGCAGTGATGCAACCACGCTAGAAGGGACACTGTTAACTGCAGAGAGTGAGAGAAGCTATAGAAGCCAAAAGGAACTTAATTTGGCAGGCCGGACCAATCCGTGGTCACCAAGCCAAACCGCCAGCCACAAAGAAAGGGAGGTTGCATTCCATCAGATATGTGGGCAACCTTAAGTACTGCGCAACTGGTAAAAGCCAACTCCCGACGGAGGGCCCCTAGCTAAGGAATTCCACGCTGGATCCAAGGCTGGAAAAAGGCTTCAATACACTCCTACCTCCCTGACATGGCTTTTTTAACAATGTCCAATTTCTCTTAGTAGCTCTACACAGACAGTGGCTACGGTGGTGGTCCCGAGAACGAGGAGATCCCAAGCAGGAGCTGGGTGCCATTTATTACGCAAAAGGCACGTAGAGGTTTTCCATCAGGGAACGTATAGCTCTTGCCAGACAGATCCCTGTCCTTTTCTGACAAAAAAACCAGTAGCATGGAGAATTTCCACTGTTTCGTACTGTGTCACAGAATTCTAGAAAGTGTTAACGGCTAAAAAAAAAAGGAGCAAGGGAACATTTGATCACGTGTCCCAGGGAAGCTCTGATTGATTGATTTCATTTGTATATCACCCTTTCCTACAAGGAGCTGAAAATGGTGTGCATGGTTCTCCTCCACCCCATCTTACCCACCCAACAACCTTGCGAGGTAGGTTAGGCTGAGAGTGAGTGACTGGCCAAGGTCACCCAGTGAGCTTTCATGGCTGAGTGGGGATTTGAACCCTAGTCTCCCAGGTTCCTAGTCTGACACACTAACCACTACACCACACTGGCTCCCACGTGTTCATGGCTTTTCAAGGACTCTGCTTTATACATTACAGTGCAGGCACATCTCAGCCACATGCAAGACTCCTGAAAAATTCAGGTTGCAAATCTAATGCAAGGGGATGGACAATGTAATGTATGACCTATCATGTTTTGCTTTCCTCCGTCTGTTTGTCATTTCCCGAGGGAGCTGTTTATACCCAACAGTGCTGAGAAAGAGTACAGTCTTACGCATATCTATGCTCCTCTTGTGTCTGATGGAGTTTACCGTATTTTTCGCCCTATAGGATGCACTTTTTCCCCTCCAAAAATGAAGGGGAAATGTGTGTGCGTCCTATGGGGCGAATGCAGGCTTTCGCTGAAGCCTGGAGAGCGAAAGGGGTCGGTGCGCACCGACCCCTCTCGCTCTCCAGGCTTCAGGAAGCTATCCGCGAGCCTTGGGAGCGGATAGCAGCCTATTCTGGGGGCTGGGGTCAGGGGAAGCTCGGGCTTCCCCTGCCCCAGCCCCGCGCCTGGGGGAAAAATAATTTCCCCCCCTTTATTCCCCCCCCCAAAAAACCTAGGTGCGCCCTATGGGCCAGTGCACCCTATAAGGCGAAAAATACTGTACTCCAAAGAAAGCATGCTTAGGATCCAAATAGACTCCCAGTTCATCGAAATAATGCTTAAAAGAGGACATTCAACAGAATGGTATAAAAATGTTATTCAGTTCATTGAAATTTCTCCAGCTGTATTAGCATTATATTTCAAAGAAGTGCATGTTTTTCATGCAGAGCTTTGGGGTTTTATTGGGAGGGGGGAGGGAGGTGGGGAGAAGGAGGAATCATGTGTCTGTTCAAACTTTCTTACTTGCTCCATACTAAGAATGATGACAGGATGCTGGCTGTGGGAAGAAGCCACACAGCACGCTTGGCAGAGAAATTCTTCCTTATTCTTTCTTTCCTTTTTAATTTAAAAAATGTATTTTCCTCTCGACTGTTTGAACTGAGGAAGAGCTTAACATATCATCATCATCAACTTTATTGCACTAGCCAAAGGCCATGGCATCATTCACAAAGGGAACAAAGAGAAAAGCAACAATAACCATAAAGGTAAAGGTAAAGCTGACCGTTAGGTCCAGTCGCGGACGACTCTGGGGTTGCGCGCTCATCTCGCTCTATAGGCCGAGGGAGCCGGGGTTTGTCCACAGACAGCTTCCGGGTCATGTGGCCAGCATGACTAAGCCGCTTCTGGCGAACCAGAGCAGCGCATGGAAACGCCGTTTACCTTCCCACCAGAGCGGTACCTATTTATCTACTTGCACTTTGATGTGCTTTCGAACTGCTAGGTGGGCAGGAGCTGGGACTAAACAAGGGGAGCTCACCCCGTTGCAGGGATTTGAACCGCTGACCTTCCAATCAGCAAGCCCTAGGCTCAGTGGTTTAGACCACAGCGCCACCCGCGTCCATAAAAAACCATAAAACATCAGGCACTGCAGATACAATAAACCATGAACACGTCTCCTAAAAATTATTTGTTGCATACGATAGAAGAGCAAGGGGTTCTCAGGTGGAATGAGCCAGCTTAAATGTCCGAATGACCTTTGCAATTGACTATTTTATCTAGTTCTTTTCTCCTGAACTTCTTAACTGCCAACACATATAGTGCTACTTTATAAGTTACAAAATCTCAACATATTTCAATAGCTGGTGGAGCTCATGAATTTGCCTACATACAAAAAGAAACCCTGTTTGCCACTTATGTTCCATCGGACCAACACAGACAAGAAAACTTCAGTATAAATTGAGGTGAGTTTTTTCTTAAGGAAAGGAAGATTTGATGATATATTTTTTTTTTAATGTACCAAAATAAGGAACATATGTGTGTTGGGGCACACATGGTATAAATGAAAGTGAGCTTTCGACTGGGGGGGGCGGGGCAACCTTTGGATAGCTCAGTTAGCAGAGCATGAGACTCTTAATTTCAGAGCTGTGGGTTCGAGCCCCACATTGGACAAAAGATTCCTGCATTGCAGGGGGTTGGACTAGATGACCATTGGGGTCCCCTGCAACTCTACAATTATATGAGGCTGCTGTCCTATATAACAGGAATGGGGAACCTTTTTTTTCTGCTAAGGGCCAATCATTTATGAAATGCACACTGGTGGTTGGTTGAAGTCAAAACTGGGCGAGTGACACAACTCTCTTCCTCCCTTCCTTGTCAGCTGCATAAAATTACACAGAGAGCTACATCTCGCCATAGGACTGCCAGCTGCCCATCACTGCTATGTGTACGTGGTTGGGTACAAGTCCCACTGAACCCAGCAGGCAGTGCCGGATTTATGTACAGTGGTACCTCGGGTTACATACGCTTCAGGTTACAGACTAGCTAAACAAGCTATAGCTTAGGGTCCCACTTTCTTGCCCCACCCCCAAAAAAGGGGGGAAAAACTGGATGTACATTTTCAAAATATAAGCTAAAAAACAAATAAAATAAAACCTACATATAGAAACAGTGTTTTGTGTTGTGTAGGCTCCTATGATGTAAGTAATGGGCCCCGCCTGCTAGCCTGCTCCCTAAAATATCACCGGTTTGCTCATTTCTATATATAAGGTGCCAACATTCTGCATGTGCAAATGGCTTTAGATACCTATTAGGTCCATAAATTATCATACAGTGGTACCTTGGGTTAAGAACTTAATTTGTTCTGGAGGTCCATTCTTAACCTGAAACTGTTCTTAACCACTTTAGCTAATGGGGCCTCCTGCTGCTGCCGTGCCACCGCTGCGCAATTTCTGTTCTCATCCTGAAGCAAAGTTCTTAACCTGAAGCACTATTTCTGGGTTAGCGGAGTCTGTAACCTGAAGCATCTGTAAGCCAAGGTACCACTGTATAGCATATATTCAACACAAAAAACAGTGACAATTTGTTGCTGACAAAGGACAGCTGGACATATAAAGGGCCCCATCGCCTTCAGTAGCTTAGGGCCGCATCAAACCTAAATCCGGCCCTTCCAGCGGGGCTCACTTCCAAGCTAGGCATATATAGGACTGCACTGCCAGTCACTTGTGCCTTCTGAAAGAACATATAGACTGATGTGTAAGTGAGGAGGTCAAGGAATTGATTTCTGCTAAAACAACTGGCTGCCTGTGAAATTTGCGACAAGCAGGACTTGGATAATCTATCCAGTTTAGCAGTTTGCTTGCTGATCGCTGCCCCTTTGTCAACCGACGACCCTTAAATTGGTTTTCAGAGAATACTTGCCACATTCAGAATAGACATCTTTGAGTCAATGTTTTCATTCGGAGACGAAGATGGAGGAAGCTGCAGTCCATATCCATGCGAAGTTAACAGGCTGGAGGGGGGCGGCGCAGTTTCCGCTTGACGGGAAAGAGGTTCACGTCGAACGAAAGCGATTTCCCACGAGGAGTTAGATCTAAAAATGAAGTCACAGGTTGGACACAAGTATTGTACATTGCATTCTTCCTGAAATAATGAAGACCTCCCTGTAATGATCAAAATATGTCAGGCAGCAAGTGATGTTTAGCAGGTCAATAAAATTCAGTGGGACAGAAATCTGTTGCACCAACTTTTTTTTAAGTATTCCCCTTGTTCTTGATGGCTAGGAGGGCCAAATCTGCGAGGGTCTTATGTTTTTAATGTGCTGTTACCAGCCCAGAATGTTTGCGCTTAGAAGGCATCTGTCTTGGGAAACAATGGAGTGCGTCTATGGGGCTGGGATCAAACCGTTGGAAAATCACAGCGCCTGAAAGTATCAGGATTTATGCCCGCAAGACAGGGAGTTCTTTTTAACAGCTCTGTATTTTAGCATTTCCAACAACACATATCCAAAATCCTCTCTCTCATCATGAGGGCTAGAGACATAAATCAACCAAATCTATACTAGGGAAGACAGACAGATGTAAAATGCAACGTTCAGAGGACTTGTTTTTTAGGGCAGTTGTTACCTCAGCTTTGTTCTGTTGATTAGGCTTCTTGCTTCTTCATAGGTGATTCCAATCAATGACTCCTTGTTAATGGAAACAAGCTGGTCCCCAGCTCTCAGCCGACCATCCTAGCAAGAACAAGGACAGTCATTGGCACTTGTTTTTGCAATCAAGTTGCCTTAAGAGGTCAAGGCAAACTCTCCAAATTTATAAACTCCCAAGGTTGTTCAGTCTGTCAAATTGCCTTTTAGAGAAGGGGAGGGCCAGATTTGATCTGATAAGAGTGCCAGACTCGTGGTACAAATAAATAACAAATCAGAGTGCCTGGTATAAATAACTGCCCGACTGAAGCAGGCTGATCTCTGCCCCTTGCTCTGCTCAGTTTATGAACTGTATGTGGTTTTTGGTATGACTGTATAGAAGTGTAGAGCCGAAATGGTCATTTAGTAAACCCCCTGCAATGCAGGAATCACAGGTAAAGCATCCACGACAGGTGGCTATTCAGACTCTGCTCAAAAACCTCCAATGAAGGAGAGTCTGCCACCTTCTGAGGTAGCCTGTTCCACGGCTTAACAGATCTTACCATCAGAATGTTGTTCCTAATGTTTAGTTCAGGGGTCAGCAAACTTTTTCAGCAGAAGAGAAGAGTTTGGATTTGATATCCCGCTTTATCACTACCCGAAGGAGTCTCAAAGCAGCTAACATTCTCCTTTCCCTTCCTCCCCCACAACAAACACTCTGTGAGGTGAGTGAGGCTGAGAGACTTCAGAGAAGTGTGACTAGCCCAAGGTCTCCCAGCAGCTGCATGTGGAGGACCGGAGACGCGAACCCGGTTCCCCAGATTACGACACTATTGCTCTTAACCACACCACCACTGTCCCTCAGACCTTGTGGGGGGCTGGACTATGTTTTGGAGGGGGAAACTGAATGAATTCCTATGCCCCACAAATAACCCAGAGGTGCATTTTAAATAAAAGCCCACATTATACTCATGTAAAAATACGCTGATTCCCGGACCGTCTGTGGGCTGGATTTAGAAGGCGACTGGGCCGGATCCGGCCCCTGGGCCTTAGTTTGCCTACCCATGGTTATGTTGGACTCTCTTTCTTGTATCTGAATTCACTGGTTTGGGTCCCACAGCAGAAAACAAGCTTGCTCAATCTTCCATGTGACAGCTCTCTAGATATTTAAAGACGGCGATCATATTACCTCTCAGTCTTCTCTTCTCCAGGATAAATTAATACTATGCTGTATTTGTGTTTCTGTTTTTTAAGTATGTGGTAGGTCAAGTGTGTGACAAGTGACTAACGAATCTAACCACCACCAGCAGCCAACAGTGAAAAACCTTCTATGGAATACAAAGGAAGAAGAAAAAACCTCAACTCTCAGCTTGCATATTAGAAGAAGGAATTCGAGCAGAGCCTTGTCCCAGATGCACAAGTTTTCTACGGGCAGGCAGGTTTTATCAATTCAGTCTCCTTTATTGGCATAGAATGAGTGTGTTGTATACATGGATCAGAACACACCACAGGTAGGAGGCACTTTTAGGTAAAACTATCCAGACATCATGAGGAACAAAGGTGGCTCTAAAGATATATGGTGACGTTATTTCATGGCGTCACTCAAAAATTTCGCCAAATTCTCCACAACATCATTCCTACAGTTATTCAGCGGACAGGACACCCTGGAAGAGGTTTTAGAAATGGGAGCCTATTAAAGGACAGGATCACACTTCAAAACGACCTTGACAGATTAGAGAACTGGGCAAAAACAAACAAGATGAATTTTAACAGGGAGAAATATAAAGTATTGCACTTGGGCAAAAAAAATGAGAGGCACAAATACAAGATGGGTGACACCTGGCTTGAGAGCAGTACATGTGAAAAGGATCTAGGAGTCTTGGTTGACCACAAACTTGACATGAGCCAACAGTGTGACGCGGCAGCTAAAAAAGCCAATGCAATTCTGGGCTGCATCAATAGGAGTATAGTATCTAGATCAAGGGAAGTAATAGTGCCACTGTATTCTGCTCTAGTCAGACCTCACCTGGAGTACTGTGTCCAGTTCTGGGCACCACAGTTCAAGGACACTGACAAACTGGAACGTGTCCAGAGGAGGGCAACCAAAATGGTCAAAGGCCTGGAAACGATGCCTTATGAGGAACGGCTAAGGGAGCTGGGCATGTTTAGCCTGGAGAAGAGGAGGTTAAGGGGTGATATGATAGCCATGTTCAAATATATAAAAGGATGTCACATAGAGGAGGGAGAAAGGTTGTTTTCTGCTGCTCCAGAGAAGCGGACACGGAGCAATGGATCCAAACTACAAGAAAGAAGATTCCACCTAAACATTAGGAAGAACTTCCTGACAGTAAGAGCTGTTTGACAGTGGAATTTGCTGCCAAGGAGTGTGGTGGAGTCACCTTCTTTGGAGGTCTTTAAGCAGAGGCTTGACAACCATATGTCAGGAGTGCTCTGATGGTGTTTCCTGCTTGGCAGGGGGTTGGACTCGATGGCCCTTGTGGTCTCTTCCAACTCTATGATTCTATGATTCTATGAAAAATGTTGGTACCCTTACATGCATTCTGAACTAATAGGGTCGCAGCAGTACTGCACTGTATGTGTGTGTTTGTCTGTAGAGGTAAAGTAAAGGTAAAGGACCCCTTGTCGGTTTATTCCAGTCAAAGGCGACTATGGGGTTGCGGCGCTCATATTGCTTTCAGGCCGAGGGAGAAGGTGTTTGTCCACAGACAGCTTTCCAAGTCATGTGGCCAGCATGACTAAACCACTTCTGGCTCAACAGGACACTGTGATGGAAACCAGAGCACACGGAAACGCTGTTCACCTTCCTGCCACAGCGGTGCCTATTTATCTACTTGCACTGGTATGCTTTCGAACTGATTGGTTGGCAGAAGCTGGGACAGAGCAACAGGAGCTCACTCCATCGCGGGGATTCGAACTGCCGACCTTCTGATTGGCAAGCCCAAGAGGCTCAGTGGTTTAGACCACAGCGCCACCCGCACTTCAGCCCGATAACTCTGCTTTTGATTTAGGAGAGAGAGCAAAATATACAG